TGACTGCCCTCTCCGCCCTCCTTCCCCTCAGTGACCGCCCTCTCCCCTCCCCTCAGTGACCGCCCTCCCCCCCCTCCCCACAGTGACCGCCCCTACCTTTCCTCCTCCCTCACCCTCTTCCCGTCTTGAAACCGCGTCAGTAATATAAAAATAAAGCTTGGAAAATGTAAACACGACTTCCTCCCTTTACTTGACTAATATTAAGTTTGTAATGAGTGCAATGCCTCCATACTCTTAGGAAGAATGTTATTTATATTTTCATAAACATTGCAACACTAATTACAGTTTACATAAAACACAGAAAACGTGAAATGATCCTTACGTTTGCTTTACGAATTTTAGTAAGTTTGATACGTTTTATTTACGTAGAGTGGGAGAATGTGCTCTCATTTCAGTCAAGACCACAAGACTGCCGTATAAAGGCTATGAGGGGTGGAAGGGTGAGGGGTGAAAGGATGACGAGTGGAGGGGTGAGGGGTGAGGGGTAGAGGCATGAAGGGGTGAGGGTGGAAGGAGTGAGCGGTGGAGGGAGTGAATGGTGGAAGGAGAATTCTTGGTATTATTTTTATCTGCTGATGATGTCATGACTCTCGTGACGTCACAATTTGCTGATGATGTCATGACTTCCTCGTGACGCCATAAGTGTCACATATTATCAGAACACTCTTGTGACGTCATAACTTTCTTTTCATATGTTTACCTTATGAGGAGGTCTTAACTCTCCCCTGACGTCATGACTTTCTCGCAATACGTTCATTTTACTGTGATATCAGGATTTTCTTGAAGTGATGTACCTTTTCGTTCTATAGTGACGACATTATAATTTAGAGATTATGTTATCATTCACAGTAAATTACTCATCATTTATCTTAAAATCTTATAAACCTTTGACATTTTTCGTCGAAGTGTGGGAAGGGGGAGGGGGGCATGGTATGGGTTAGGGATAGGGAGGAGAAAAGGTGTGGAAGGGTAAGGTGGGGGGGAGGAAGTAAGGGTAGGGAAGGGTTGATGTGGGGTGAAGGTGTAGGGTGGGGGGAAGAAGGTCAAGGTAGGTTGAGGTGGGGTGGTGGGGGTGAAGGGTTCCCCACCCTTCATCCCCAGGTGATAGGTGGGGTGGGTGAGGATGAGAGGTGGGGGAGGGTTAGAGTGGGGTGAAGGAGAGGTACTGACACAACACTCCCAGGAACAAAAGAGGATGAGTCGACCAACTTGAGCCAAACTGGTGGAATATACTGAGTGTGTGGGGGGTGAATAGTGGGGGTTGGGGTACGAGTGGTTGGTGTGCGTGGGTGGGATGATACAATAGGGAGCTGGGTAGGTTGTGGGGCAGAAAGATGAATAGGGTATGGGTAGGAAGGAAGGTAGGGTGTGGGCAAGGGGAAAAGTAGGGTTTAGGTGAGGAGATGGGCAGAATGCGGGTAGGGAGATGGGTAGGGTGTGGGCGGGAAGAAGGATAAGATGTGGGTAGGGTAGTGGGTAGGGTAAGCTAAAAACAGAGATGGGTAGAGTATGGATATGAATAGTTGAAGTAAGTAAGCAGAAGGCGTAGAAGAGAATGGTAGGTCGTGTGTGGGTGGTGTTGGGTAAGAGGCTGGGGTTGAGCTAGGTTAGGGTAGATCAGGTTAGGTTAGGTTAGGTTAGGTTTTGTGTAAAACTACCCATTTATATGTATTATGATGTTCATGATCGTATGTGGCAGTCAGAAGTTTTCAAAAATGAGTAATACATAGAAGTTGTCATTAGTCGGAGGAAAGGACAGACTGACAGGGTGAATGGATATACCTTGTATATTTTGCTGGCAAAAGAGAACTATGAATGAGTCCGTAAATGCCTTAGAGGGTGAGTAACTAAGTTGGTAACAGAACATAAGGGATGATGGAAGAAAAAATGGGTAAGCAAGTGCACAAGCAGGTGGTTTGGTGACAAATATGACAGGTGTGTAAGTGGGAAAGCAGGTCTGCTGGGAGGTGTGCAGGGTTAAGGATGACGGTCACCACCACCAGCAGGCCCAGGTGTCCTCCACATGACACAGTTCACAAGTGTTCTTCTTTACACACATACACTATGACATAACAACTACAGTCATAACATTTTAAATGTTTTATTTATGATTTATGACAAGTTTTCCAATCAACACTTTTATCAGCTATGAAGGGAATTTGGATTCAATATCTGGTAAGAGAAACAAAGAAAGAATTCCATAGTGTTGTTAGTACTGTGTGTGTTGCTATTGTTAGTACTGTGTGTGTTGCTATTGTTAGTACTGTGTGTGTTGCTATTGTTAGTACTGTGTGTGTGGCTATTGTTAGTACTGTGTGTGTTGCTATTGTTAGTACTGTGTGTGTGGCTATTGTTAGTACTGTGTGTGTTGCTATTGTTAGTACTGTGTGTGTGGCTATTGTTAGTACTGTGTGTGACTATTGTCAGTACTGTTTGTGAGTGTGTGGCTATTATTTGTTCTGTGTGTGTGGCTACTGTTAGTACTGTGTGTGTGTGGCTATTGTTAGTACTGTGTGTGGCTATTGTTAGTACTGTGTGTGGCTATTGTTCGTACTGTGTGTAGCTGTGTTTAGTACTTTGTATGTAGCTATTGTTAGTACTGTGTGTGTGGCTTTGTTAGTACTATGTGTATGGGTATTATTAGTACTGTGTACGTGTGGCTATTGTTAGTACTGTGTGTGGCTATTGTTAGTACTGTGTGTGGCTATTGTTAGTACTGTGTGTGGCTATTGTTAGTACTGTGTATGTGTGGCTATTGCTAGTACTGTGTGTGTGGCTATTGTTAGTACTGTGTGTGGCTATTGCTAGTACTGTGTATGTGTGGCTATTGCTAGTACTGTGTGTGTGGCTATTGTTAGTACTGTGTATGATGGACGTGCTCGTGATTTATGCACAACATTCCTGTGTGTGTGTGTGTGTGTGTGTGTGTGTGTGTAATAATAATAATAATAATAATAATAATAATAATAATAATAATAATAAATAATAATAGTAATAATAATAATAATAATAATAATACTAATAATAATAATAGTAATAATAATAATAATAATAATAATAATAATAATAATAATAATAATAATAATAATAATAATAATAATAATAATAATAATAATAATAATAATAATAATAATAATAATAATAATAATAATAATAATAATAATAATAATAATAATAATAATAATAATAATAATAATAATAATAATAATAATAATAATAATTAACGGTTTATTCAAAAAATTCTGCAACCCGAAGGCTGAAAATATACATTGGACATAAATGACTTATTACATACATTGGTGGTTTAACAAAAGCCTTCATTCGAGGAACACAGTGAACATTCAGATTAATGTTTACAGTGGAGGTCACGTAGGTCTTGCGCGCTGAGGTGTTGAACAGCAGACACGTAGTGTAGTAATTCCCTCACAGGTGGTGTTATGAGGGGCCTGATGTGGTGTAGTAATTCCCTCACAGATGGTGTTATGAGAGCCTGATGTGGTGAAGTATTTCCCTCACAGATGGTGTTATGAAGGGCCTCACATGGTGTAGTAATTCCCTCACAGATGGTGTTATGAGAGCCTGATGTGGTGAAGTATTTCCCTCACAGATGGTGTGTGTGTGTGTGTGTGTGTGTGTGTGTGTGTGTGTGTGTGTGTGTGTGTGCGTGTGGTTGTGTGCGTGTGGCGAGTTTAGTCTGTATGTCTGTCCGTTTGTTTGTTTGTTTGTTTAGCCTCGACGAGTAGATGGCTGCTGCATATTTATTGCTTCGTCAGGAATTTGAGGGCATGAATACTTCGCGTTTCTGTTGTGGTGAGTTATGGCCAAAGTGATAATTGTTACCTGCTTTAAATATCACCAGAGGAAAAGAATTGAATAAGCATGATCGAGTTTTTTCTCAGGTATTGCGCTTTAAAAAAATAATAATATATGAATGAGTAGGAATGTACGAGCGACGATAAATATATGCATCTTATGTTATAAAAGTATGGGGTTGAATTTTGTCTTGCTGAATTATGTAGTCTCTTTCTCTCTCTTTCTCTCTCTCTCTTTCTCCCCTGAATTGTAACTATCAGTCTAGTCCAATGATATGAACACCACACCCAATGTTCTGAACACCATACTCAATGATCTGAATACCATAGTAAATATCTGAACACCACATTCAATAATCTGGACACTACACTAAAAAATCTGAACACCCCACTCAATGTTCTAAACACCACCACACTCGATGTTCTGACACACTCAATGAAACTTGCGGATAAAATTCTCGTAACTATTTGGCCAGTGTGTTTCTGAGGGCAAACCTATAAGTGCTTTAGTATTGTATTGGAAAATAAACTATGGCTCTGCTGGCAGCGGCTGGCTTGGTGTGTGGTTTAAGTAGTTTATAAAGTTGTTTTCCTATGTGAGTATCAAAGGAGTTAAGCGGGAGGCCATAGAGATTTAATGTTTTCCTAAGGAGAATTTTAGATTCCTTTTGTTTTAGACAGGTTATGAAGGAAAAAAAATATTCCACCTTGGTGAAGACGGGTAACTCAACTGGTACATCCTTCAGATACTTAAATAATAAATACAATTTTTTTTCTCTTCTTTAGACTACCTGCTCCTTTCTGCACCCTGCCATCACCCCCCCTCCCTACACCTTACTCTCCCTCATCTCACATCCAACCTTGCTTTCCCTCATCTCTCCCCCTTTCTTTACCATCCCTAATCTTCTTCATATTTCTCCCATCCTTACTCTCCCTCATCTCACCGCCAACCTTAATCTCCCTTCATCTCAACCCCCTTCCTTACTCTCCCCCACCATGGATACCTTAGGAGGAAGCGGTACTGGTGGTATCATACGCGCGTCAGTTCTCATCCCAGATATTCAGGGGCCAGGCAGAGCACCGCGATGAGTTCTGGAAATATATGGCAGATGAGAGGGGAGGGTGGAATGAAGGGGCGTGTAATGCTAAAGGGAAGGGAAAACAGTGGAGGATGAAATAGTGTGGAAGATGGAAAGGAAGGGAGAGGAGGATGGGATGTGGAACATATCACCCTCCAACACATCACATTTCAACTCATCACCCTCCAGTATACCACACTCCAACACATCACCCTCCAGCACATCATTCTCCAGCAAATCACCCTCCAGCACATCACCCTCCAACACACCACACTCCAACACATCACTCTCCTGTATACCACACTCCAACACATCACCCTCCAGTACATCACCATCCAGCACACCACACTCCAACACATCACCCTCCTGCACATCACACTCCAACACATCACACTCCAACAATCACACTCCAACACACCACACTCCAACACATCACTCTCCATCATACCACACTCCAACACATCACCCTCCTGCACATCACACTCCAACACATCGCACTCCAGTACATCACCCTCCAGCAGATCACCCTCCAACACATCACCCTCCAGCACATCCCCCTTCCGACACATCACCCTCCAACACATCACACTCCAACACATTAACCTCCAAAACATTACACTCCAACACATCACACTCCAACCCATCACCCTCCAGCACATCACACCTCCAGTACATCACCTCCAGCACAATACCATCCAATACATCAGCCTCCAGCACATCACACTCCAACACATCACATCTCCAAAACATCACACTCCAACACATCACACTCCAGCACATCACACCTAACACATCACACTCCAACACATCACCCTCCAGCTCATCACACTACAACACATCACATCTCCAACACATCACACCCAACACATCACACTCCAGCACATCACACTCCAGCACATCACACTCCAACACATCACACTCCAACACATCACACTCCAGCACATCACACTCTGACACATCACACTCCAACACTTCACCCTCCAGCTCATCACACTCCAGCACATCACACTCCAGCACATCACACTCCAACACATCACACTCCAACACATCACACTCCAGCACATCACACTCTGACACATCACACTCCAACACATCACCCTCCAGCTCATCACACTCCAGCACATCACACTCCAGCACATCACACTCCAACATATCACACTCCAACACATCACACTCCCCCAGTACAATAGTGACAAAAGAACGCCATAAAAAACAAAATACAAACATAATTTTATGGAAACAATCATTGGAAAACATTCTAACTTGAGATTACAGTCACCGGATACCCAGGTCATATACAGTGAAGATCAATTTTAGGTAAGTACATTAAAGTGGTTTATATTAGTACACCCGGGGGCTGTTGGTCGTGTTGATGATCTTTGTTTCTATAATATTTGATGGTCATGTATTACAGTGTTGTATCCATATGTTAGTAGGGAATTTTTTGACTATATTTCCATTACAACTCCTCCCCCTCAACAAACTTAACCTAACCTAATCTAACCTAACCTAACCTCACCTCACCTCCCCTTTAACTAATTCACCTTCATGTAGGCTACACTAAATAGATAATCGTGAGTTATGTTATGAATATTTTTTCTCATTATTTTAAATCTTTCTATTTGTACTCCTCAAACTCTATTCTTTTTTATATGAAACATTTTCAGTTAAATGAGACTACTTTTTTAAGGACACTTAAGAAATAAGTTCTGACTTTTTTGTGTTATCCTTATTAATTATCACCAGTCTTAGTTTTTCTTTAGCTAACAATAATGGTTTGTCCATTTTATATCAGTACTTATGATTTGACCACTACATCACTTCACATTTCTCTGCACTAAGTTCATTTGCTATGTGTCTGACCACTGACGTTTTTTATTGAAATCTTTGACTCGTGAAACATTTAATCTTGGTGTCAGTTTTACAGTGTAAGTTCTTGTCGTCAACCAATTATGCACATTTTTTCATGGTATCTTTTCCTGGTCAATAATATAGTTAATGAAGAGAATAGGATGACGACTCTCAGCCAATCCGATCATGTGTTATATACCAATAAGCCAGCCATTGGTCAACACACACAGTTTATTCCTTAGTTCGTGTTATTTGATTTTACTCTCTCTGTTTTCTAAGCACGGCCTTAGTTTTGAAGATTGTAGGATGAAATTTGACATGAAGATAAGTATATACCCCATAAGTGTTCAGAAGGTGGTATTCTTGGGGAGTTGGCGATATGGTGGGAGGTGTCGATATTGTGCAAAATATGTCATATATAATAATAATAATTAACGGTTTATTGAAAGAGCATGACAGCCAAAAGGCTGAAATTATACAGTTACCTAATTAGGGAATGGATTACTTGATTGACAAATAATATACAAAGTAACATAAGTGATACAAATATGATATATACTAATAGGGCATTTCAACATAGTAACAGTGCAAAAATGTAAGATTGGCTGGGGGTGAACTCACTGGTTGACTACGAGTTGTTGATAATTTTTTACAATGGTTGGGACTGGCCAGTACGTGCTCGTATTGGCTAGATGCAGTTGTGGTGTCGAACAGCAATTAGCGGACGAGGGATCTAGGGTGGAAACAGGAGCCGGTGTCGAGGATGGTGCAGAAGCTTCACACCAAATTTGCAGATGAGGTCTTGGTGATGATCAGAGAGAACCGAGAGGGTCAGTGTGCTGAGCGCTTCTTGATATGTGGAGTGTGTGTGTGTGTGTGTGGGTGTGTGTGTGTGGTGTGCTGAGCGCTTCTTGATATGCTGTGTGTGTGTGTGTGTGTGTGTGTGTGTGTGTGTTGCCTTTAGTTACCTCTTGCTTATCTTTGGTTATCCCGCCTAGCCCTGTGCTCTCATGGGTGGAAGAGAGAGTGGAATGGAAGGAGGGTGGAATTGGAGGGAAGGTGGAATGGAGGGGAAGGTTGAAAGAAGTGGAGGGTAGAATGAACGGAAGAATGGAATAGGTACCTGCACTATCCTCATCAATGTGCATTGAGGGGAAGAGGAAGAGGGGCAGTGAAATATGACCGGGGTAGTGAGGAGAAGGGAGAGGGGAGGTGAGAGGTAGTCCACGAGGGGAGAATGTACAGTAGAGAGGTAGGAAACATAATTCATGGGGAGAACGGAAAGAGAAAGAAAGAGAGAAAGAGAAAGAGAGAGTAATGCCAGGAAAGTAGGGAGAAGAGAGGGGAGGTAAGGGATGGATAATGAAGGCAGGGCATGTTTGGATAATGCAGGGAAGTAGGGAGAGGGAAGGAGTGAATAATGAGGGGAGAGAAAGAGAGGAAACGGAGGGAATATAATTCATGAAGGGAGGGGAAAAAGGAGGAGACTGGAGGGGAAAAAAAAGGGGGGTGGGCGGGAGGGAGGGAGGGTGGGAGGGATGTCGAGAGGGGAAAAGGAGGGGAGAGAAAGGGAAAGGAAATATAAATTACGAGAAAGCATATGTCAAGACAAGTAACAGGAAAAGCAATAGTTTGGAAGAAGAAAGAATGGGAAAGAGAAGAGAGGAGAAACAAGAAAGGCGAAAAATATGAGAGGGAAATATAAATAGAGAAAGGGAGAAGAGAAAAAAAAGGGGGAAAGGAGTGATATAAAAGAAAATGGGTAAAACTGTGTGTTGGAAGAGAAAGGGGACATAGAAAATAGAGAAGTGGGGAGGATATCTCAAGCTTCAAGACGTAGGAGGAGAGACGAATCCTAAGAGTTCTGACACACACACACACACACACACACACACACGGTTACGACCGTGTCGTATTTTTCTATTTTTGTTATATAACATGCTTCCATGTTGTTCCATAATATTCCTGTAATGATGTGTTATATTTACTATTATATAATCTAGTCACCTTACCCTGTGCTGTTAAGGTTTTAATTGTTATTATTTGTTCAAGCCCATCTTATTTCTTCATTTAGTATTGTAACAAGGATTCTTTGTTTCTCTAACGACCATCTGCATCGTTAAACGACCCATGTTTCACCTGCTGGTCGCATTGGCTGGAGCCTACCTTATATAAAGTACTCCACCTGTAGACAGAGTTCAGTTCAGTCCTCTTGTCATTCAGTTCACGTTCTTTTGAGTGACACTCGTCACCTGTTACTTATACTTATTTTATTTGTGTTGTTCCTGTCGCCACCAATGTGATATATCTATGTGAGTACCTATTTATGTCTCTTATGTGTCCATCAGTGCTTGCTTAGTCACATTTAAGTAATTCAGTGTTGTTTCACGATAGTTAATTTCAGTGTTAGTTATTTTATTTGTTTATGCAGTGTTAACATAATCCAATGCTATATTTTTATTCTTTTGATGTTTCCATGTTTTAGTATCATTTGTGTCTTAAAGGTTTCGATAGTGAATCAATTTGTTGTGACAGCCTACGAGGCTCTTTATTGTGTTAATATTTAATTTAATTAAATTCTTAAAGGTTTACTTTATTTATTTTTATTCCCTTTTAATTTACTTCACTTTTTTGTTTGGTTACGCCTAGAACCTGGATATTAAAGTAACAACACACACACACACATCATCGCACCCGTGTAATGACCTCTCCACAATGCCTAACACACCTTATATGTTCCTCAGTACCCTTATCTACCTCTGTGATCAACGCCACCACTTTTGTCACCATGTCGTCAACTTCGTACCTACCCACTCTTGTCTTACCCACCCCTGCCTCCTCCCACCTAATCCTACCTCCCTCCTACCCACCCCTACCCACCCCTACCACCCTCCTACCCATCCCTGCCTCCTATTCCCCCACTCTACCTCCTCCTACTTACCTCTTACTCCCTCCTACCCATCTCTGCGGCACCGCCAATTTCAAGATAGGTAACAACACTATTGACTATGTTTCTTTTAAATATCTTGGTGTCTCCGTCCCTTGTACCTAACCTGTGTTACGAACCACGCCACCAATTATCATGATCTACCTACCCAGCACTACGAACCGCGCCATCTATTGTCCTGATCTACCTACCCAGCACCACGAGCAACGCCATCTAGGGACGAAACCCGAGTATGACTACTCTTAGTTACCACTCCGGGGTTTCCCTTCTCCATATCCTGGTTGTTGTGTCACCTCCTCAAAGTCTTCCTCGTCAGCTCCAGTTCAATGAGAGTTCAGTTCACTCTGGGAAGTGACCACAGGATCACCTATCCTGGAAACCTACGGCACAGTGACTACCTACCGTCTTCTACAATACTCAGTCTTACTCGTCAGCCATCTCAGCTCCGCACTTAAGTATTTGTTATCCTATATTGCCTCCCCGCGTCCACTTGCTTCAAAATTGTTGTATGTTGTATAAATATGTATATACTGTTAATGTTTAGGTTAAGTATGGTTAAGGGTAAATTATAGAAAGCTGAATATTTTGTTAAGGAATTTATGGTACTTTATTATACACAACACAAACTCACATCCTTTGTCTACCCTTTTATAGTCCGATTGTCTTTGTTTTTTTTGTTGGTGTTGCCTGTTGGGATCTGGGTAGACTTTTAACTATATTCTAAATCCCCAACTCGTAACAAATGGCGACCGTGACAGGATCCAACATTAAGTGCCATATTTCTAACCCCCTTGTTATTCCTTGTTAATTATTCCTCCCAGTCACTTCTGTTCACAATTGCTTTACCGTGGTTTAAAGTTCCTTCATATGCGTGTGCATATATTGGTATTATCGTACAGTAAGAGTGACAGACGTAGGATATTAGGTTCCAAGTGTCATAAGGCTTGCCTGTTATTACACGTGGCAGTCGTGTAGTAAGTCTTATCGAGTGTAGGGAAGAATCCGGATCTGTTTAATGCCGTACCCTCACTCCAGAGTAGGCTGTTCCATAGTCACTAGTTTAGGGTGAAGTGATATCTTGGGACGCCCCCCTCTACCAGGACCCCATAATTATAAAGCCTCCATTATTGTTCTTCTCATTATCTCATTCGGGGTCAATAATCTGTAACTCAAGGGTTGTTAATCCGGATCTTTATATTAATGCCGTAATACGCCCTTCCTGTTTACTCAAGGGATGTTAATCCGGATCTTTATATTAATGCCGTAATACGCCCTTCCTGTTTACTCAAGGGTTGTTAATCCGGATCTTTATATAAATGCCGTAAAACGCCCTTTCTGTTTCAAGTATCTAAGGGTTGTTAATCCGGATCTTTATATAAATGCCGTAATACGCCCTTCCTGTTTCAAGTATCTAAGGGTTGTTAATCCTGATCATTATATAAATGCCATAATACGCCCTTCCTGTTTAC